TCATCCATCCATCTATCCTCCATCCATCCATCCATCCATCCGTCTATCCTCCATCTATCTATCCATCTATCTATCCTCTAGGGGTGGGAATCTTTGGTCACCTCACGATCCGATCCGATTCCGATTCTGGGAGTCACGATCCGATTCCAGAACGATTCTTTATCTACCCCGAAACCCCCTCCCCCCCCCATAAATTAATTCATTAGTTTACATAAGCAATTAAGTAGCCTACTTTTTAAAAAATAATTACAAATTAATTGTTTTTTATTAAAACAGTTGTATGTTAAGAATTTTAAACTAATATAGGCTAACTAATATAACAAATAATAAAGAGGAGCATAGAAAAATATAACAAACAACAAACAAAAAGTGCTTTCAGTAGCCTATAGATTATCTGAACGTTTTCCATTCAAGAACTGTGAGTGATTTTTCTTCATCTTTACTGTTGTTTTTTACTATGACATCATAGACTGCGGGAGATCTATTAAGCTGCATTCACTCACGCATCTCTTTTGAAATAAAATAAGTAATGCGGTGTGTCCTGTCCGTTTAATCCCTTAAGACATAACTGGCTGTGTTTACGTTAATTTTGCACAAGTAGGCTACATTAAACCACTACACGGAGTCGCATGCGCGAGCAGTCTCACAAACAAAGCGCGCGTCAGCATTTGAAATTGAAAGCAGCCTTCTGTTAGTGAGGTTCATATTTTAAATATAAAGTCCACTGCATTCCAAACCACATAAATGATGACTTCGTAGAGCATTTGTAAGGAAAATACCGACGGGCGAGACAGCACACTTCAAGTGTAACATCAAAGAAAGCGCGCGTCTCTCACAGCGTATCCTGTGCAATGAAGCCTGTGAATGTCCTTGTAATTCGCTTCAACCTTTTCGAACTTTATGAAAGATTATTTACGGAAGGTTCGAGTGGTGTATGTGTGTGAGGAATTGGAAGCAAGCAGAATACGGGTGTTTCTAAAGCAAACTCAACGTCATCGCACATCTGGTTAAAAACTAAGCTCAGAATCGATCCAGAATCGTTGGAGAGAGAATCGCGATGCATCGATGGATCGATTTTTTCTCCCACCCCTACTATCCTCCATCCATCCATCTATCTTCCATCCATCCACCCATCCTCCATCCATCTATCCATCCTCCATCTATCCATCCATCTATACTCCATCCATCCATCCATCCATCCTCCATCTATCCATCCTCCATCTATCCATCCTCCATCCATCCATCCATCCATCCATCCATCCATCCATCCATCCATCCGTCTATCCTCCATCTATCTATCTATCTATCCATCTATCTATCCTCCATCCATCCATCTATCTTCCATCCATCCATCTATCCATCCTCCATCTATCCATCCATCTATCCTCCATCCATCCATCCATCTATCCTCCATCCATCCATCCATCCATCCATCCTCCATCTATTCATCCATCCATCCATCCATCCATCCGTCTATCCATCTATCTATCCATCCATCTATCTATCTATCATCCATCCATCCATCCATCCATCTATCCTCCATCTATCCATCTATCTATCATCCATCCATCCATCCATCCATCCATCCATCCATCCGTCTATCCTCCATCCATCCATCCATCCTCCATCTATCCATCTATCTATATATCCTCCATCCATCCATCTATCTATCCTCCATCCATCCTCCATCCTCCATCCATCCATCCATCCATCTATCCTCCATCCATCCATCCATCCATCCATCCTCCATCTATCCATCCATCCATCCATCCATCCGTCTATCCTCCATCTATCTATCTATACATCCATCCATCCTCCATCCATCCATCCATCCATCATCCATCCATCCATCCATCCATCCATCCATCCTCCATCCTCCATCCATCCATCCATCCATCCTCCATCTATCCATCCATCCATCCATCCATCCATCCATCCATCCATCCATCTGTCTATCCTCCATCTATCTATCTATCTATACATCCATCCATCCTCCATCTATCCATCTATCTATCCTCCATCCATCCATCCATCCATCATCCATCCATCCATCCATCCATCCATCTATCCTCCATCCATCCATCCATCCATCCACCCTCCATCTATCCATCCATCCATCCATCCATCCTCCATCTATCCATCCATCTATCCATCCATCCATCCATCCATCTATCTATCTATCTATACATCCATCCATCCTCCATCTATCCATCTATCTATCCTCCATCCATCCATCCATCATCCATCCATCTATCCATCCATCCATCTATCTTCCATCCATCCACCCATCCATCCATCTATCTTCCATCCATCCACCCATCCATCCATCTATCTTCCATCCATCCACCCATCCATCCTCCATCTATCCATCGATCTATCCGCCCTCCATCCATCCATCCATCCTCCATCTATCCATCGATCTATCCTCCATCCATCCATCCATCCGTCCTCCATCCATCCATCCTCCATCTATCCATCGATATATCCTCTATCCATCCATCCATCCGTCCTCCATCTATCTATCTATCTATCTATCTATCTATCTATCTATCTATCTATCTATCTATCTATCTATCTATCTATCTATCTATCTATATATCTATCTATCTGTCCATCTATCTGTCCATCCATCCATCATTCAACTTCAAAATATTTAGAACTATTTTTAATCTAAAAATTACAGTTATGGATTTAGTTGAATTTTAATTAACTTAACTTATATTTCCAAACTGAATTTAAACAGCATTCTAAATTAAATTCTGAACAACCCAGATGCAATACTAGACATAAACAGAAACAATGCTACAAAAGCACCTGTAATTTTGTCATTTTGGCACAACATTCATGGCTTTTATAATGGCAAAGACACTATAAGTAAGTGTTTCAGGACGGCCGGCGCTGTTGTAAAATGTCCAGTAAAAGCTGCCATGGTGCTAGCAATGACGTACATCTAAATGCGTAAGTTTGGTATAAAATAAACCTGATTCTTGCATCATTTTAAGTCGTGTTCAAATTGCACACATTGCTTTCTCAGCGGGAGGCTCTTTCAGCTTTATTGTTTGGCAATAGTGAGTTTTATAAACCTTTGACAGACGTTCACAGGCGTCTGTTATTTAGGCGTGAGAGTAGCCAGAAATAGCAGCAGAAGCTCCTGAGAAATACATTAGTGGAAATAACATCAGCTTTGCTCAAACAGAGTCTTATAACACAGTTGTGATGGGATCGTGGAGGGATAGCGGGGCTGTTCTGGGGATTTTGGGAGCGGAGTGTGCTTTATTAACAAGCTCGATGTTTAGAAGTGCAGAAACACACGTGGAGAGCAGCACGAGTCCAATGTCTCGCCATGATCGAGTGAAAGCTGATTAGCAGACTCTTGTTTAGTGTTGAACTCGGACGAAAACGACTGCTGGGAGTCGTGGGGGTTGTGTTCATGTGTACGAAACAGTTTTTTGAGTTTCAATTGATTTATTCCAGAATTTTCAGCATCATTACTCCAGTCTTCAGTGTCACATGATCCTTCAGAAATCACTCTAATATGATGATTTCTCAAGAAACATTTATGATTATTATTAACAGTTGTGATGTTTGTCTGATTCAACAGTTGGCAGACAATAACTTTATTTATCTGCAATTTGATCTTTGCAGATCTTTTACATTTGCAGACTGCTTTATTAAGTCCTTCCAGAAAAACACAGTTTTTTTTTTTATTGTTGCGGGCAAAAATCCTTGATTATGCGGCCCGTTTTCTTTAAAAATGCGATGGAATATGTGGGATATTTATGCAATTTTATGCGATGAAATTGCGGGAACTTTCAAAAACGGCGGTTTGATGAAAAAGAGAAAAAAAAGTGATTCTCCAACACCCTGTTCTCACTAGGCCTTCATGTAAAGAGTCATTTCTTATGACTTCCTATGATAAGCAAGCGTATACATCACAGAAAGTGCTGGAATATTTCAGTTCTCATCTTAATAAACACATCAAACTTACAAAACATTGATGAGTCAAACAAGTTCTGTAGCTTTACAAAAGGAATATGCTTCAACTTCTGTAAAAATGAATAAATAAAATATAAAAACATAAAGTGTGCTCCTGTTTTACAGCTTTTCGATGATGTTCACGTCGCGTAATTGCGTCACTTCATAACGTTCCCATGGCAACAGGGGGAAACGGCAGCTCTCGTGTGAAGCAAACGCAACATTTTTCAACTTTCTGCTCAGATATATGTGACTTTTTTGCAACGAAAATGCGAGGATTATAAAATCATGCAAGCGCCGCATATTTTGCACGGAAATCGGCAATTTATGCGGCGAAAGTGCGGCGTATTTGAAAAAATGCCCCCGCATAAATATGAAGACTTTGGGTGATTATGCACTGAATCATGCGATCGCATAATCGGGTTTTTCTGGAGGGAGTGTTTATTACACACTACACTCTAAAAAATGCTGGGTTGTTTTAACCCAATTTTGGGTCAAATATGGACAAACCCAATTGTTGGATTAAAAAATGCAATTTATAAATTTAACCCAACAGCTGGGTTTGTCCATATTTGACCCAAAATTGGGTTAAAACAACCCAGCATTTTTTAGAGTGTACATGAAAGGAAATATTCATAAAAACATAATAGGGGCACTTTAAAAACTACAAAAAAACAACTAAAATGCATTGGATAAAATTTTTCGTAATAAGATCTATAACATGCATTTAGAAAATAGACGGTGTGAATTTCCATTTCATGCTGACGTAAAGAAACATTTAATATTTCTATGTCACCAATCAAATAAGTGCATATGTGAAATTGATCATGTGATCATTCTCAAATCATACAAGAGAACATGATCATTACAATATTAAGACATCCTGAAAATGTTTATCAATTCGAATTTTCACTTAAATTATGCTGATATTCGACAATATTATACAATATGATACCAACAGTAAAAAAAAAATTGCAAATAGAAATATTTTCACTAGGGATGAATAGGATTATGAATGGACTCACATTAAGGCCAAGCCCAGGTAGTTTGCGGTGCTGCCCCAGTACATGGGGTTCTCCATCACATTAAACGGGAAGCTGGTCACCTTCTGATCCATGAGGATGCCGAAATAGTCTCCTATTTAGAGATAAAAACAAGCATGAATAACTCCACATCATTCACATATGCTTTCACAGGCAGCGTCCGACAATACATATTCCTTCCTGTAAGCTCACTTTACACATTTTGTTTAGTTGCACAATTAAATGTACAAAAAATGTCTCAAAACCGTGATGTCTGCACCTTCTTTATATTCTGCAGGGACTTCATATGCTTTGCTCTCAGGACTCTAGATTATATTACATGAATTAAAAGTAAAATACAAACCAACAACTTTCACACTATAATATCAATTTGAGTTATGTAAGGTTATTTTTTTATCATTTGTATATTTTTAAAAGACACACACACACACATGCACGCACACACTCGCGCACACACTTGCGCACACACACACACACACATACAGACAGACAGACACACACACACACACTCCTGTCCACAGACACACACACACACACACACACACACACACACACACTCCTGTCCACAGACACAGACACACACACACACTCCTGTCCACAGACACAGACACACACACACACACACACACACACACACACACACACACACACACACACACACACACACACACTCCTGTCCACAGACACACACACAAACACACACACACACACACACACACACACACACACACACACACACACACACACACACACACACACACACACACACACACACACACACACACACACACACACACACACACACACACACACACACACTCTCTCTCTCTCTCTCTCTCTCTCACTCACACACACACACACTCACACACACAAACACTTACTCACACACACACACACACACACACACTGAATCGCGCCTCATGTTGTTCCAAAAACGTAAGACTTTCATTCATCTTCGGAATACAAATGAAGATATTTAAAGAAATCTGAGAGACTTCTGTCCCTCCACTGAAACCCGAAACTTCAAACATTCATAAAGAGGTTTATGTTTCGCAGATCGCTGATCAAAGCCTGCATTAAATCTGTTCTCTTATAGAGCGATCGTGTCTCTCTCGTTGCATTAAGCCGCCCAATTCACATGGATTTATTTTACCGTCTCTTTGTGAAATATTTTATGCATCAGAGTTTTGCCGAATAGACTTCGTCGACATGCACAGGCTGAATAATAATTCTACATTAAAACGCTGAATTTCCGTGTGAATGATTTGCTTGAATCAGTGTGTTCCTGGAAGTCTGTCTTCATGCTGAGTTTAATCTCCAGCAATAATAACTCGTCTGTAATAACTCGTCTGTAATAACTCGTCTGTAATAACTCGTCTGTAATAACTCGTCTGTAATATCTCGTCTGTAATAACTCGTCTGTAATAACTCGTCTGTAATAACTCGTCTGTAATAACTCGTCCGTAATATCGCGTCCGTAATATCTCGTCTGTAATATCTCGTCTGTAATAACGCGTCTGTAATAACTCGTCTGTAATATCTCGTCTGTAATAACTCGTCTGTAATATCTCGTCTGTAATATCTCGTCTGTAATATCGCGTCTGTAATAACTCGTCTGTAATAACTCGTCTGTAATAACTCGTCTGTAATAACTCGTCTGTAATATCTCGTCCGTAATATCTCGTCTGTAATATCTCGTCCGTAATAACTCGTCTGTAATAACGCGTCTGTAATAACGCGTCTGTAATAACTCGTCTGCAAAAACTCGTCTGCAATAACGCGTCTGTAATAACGCGTCTGTAATAACGCGTCTGTAATAACTCATCTGTAATAACTCGTCTGTAATAACTCGTCTGTAATAACGCGTCTGTAATAACGCGTCTGTAATAACGCGTCTGTAATAACGCGTCTGCAATAACTCGTCTGTAATAACGCGTCTGTAATTAACGCGTCTGCAATAACTCGTCTGTAATAACGCGTCTGTAATAACTCGTCTGTAATAACGCGTCTGTAATAACTCGTCTGTAATAACTCGTCTGTAATAACGCGTCTGTAATAACTCGTCTGTAATAACTCGTCTGTAATAACTCGTCTGTAATAACTCGTCTGCAATAACTCGTCTGCAATAACGCGTCTGTAATAACGCGTCTGCAATAACTCGTCTGTAATAACTCGTCTGTAATAACTCGTCTGTAATAACGCGTCTGTAATAACGCGTCTGTAATAACGCGTCTGTAATAACTCGTCTGTAATAACGCGTCTGTAATAACTCGTCTGTAATAACGCGTCTGTAATAACGCGTCTGTAATAACTCGTCTGCAATAACTCGTCTGTAATAACGCGTCTGTAATAACTCGTCTGTAATAACGCGTCTGTAATAACTCGTCTGTAATAACTCGTCTGTAATAACGCGTCTGTAATAACTCGTCTGTAATAACTCGTCTGTAATAACGCGTCTGTAATGACGCGTCTGTAATAACTCGTCTGTAATAACGCGTCTGTAATAACTCGTCTGTAATAACTCGTCTGTGATAACTCGTCTGTAATAACGCGTCTGTAATAACTCGTCTGCAATAACTCGTCTGTAATAACGCGTCTGTAATAACTCGTCTGTAATAACGCGTCTGTAATAACTCGTCTGTAATAACTCGTCTGTAATAACTCGTCTGTAATAACTCGTCTGTAATAACTCGTCTGTAATAACGTGTCTGTAATAACGCGTCTGTAATAACTCGTCTGTAATAACTCGTCTGTAATAACGCGTCTGTAATAACTCGTCTGTAATAACGCGTCTGTAATAACTCGTCTGTAATGACGCGTCTGTAATAACTCGTCTGTAATAACGCGTCTGTAATAACTCGTCTGTAATAACTCGTCTGTGATAACTCGTCTGTAATAACGCGTCTGTAATAACTCGTCTGTAATAACGCGTCTGTAATATCTCGTCTGTAATAACGCGTCTGTAATAACTCGTCTGTAATAACTCGTCTGTAATAACGTGTCTGTAATAACGCGTCTGTAATAACTCGTCTGTAATAACTCGTCTGTAATAACTCGTCTGTAATAACTCGTCTGCAATAACTCGTCTGTAATAACGCGTCTGTAATAACGCGTCTGTAATAACTCGTCTGTAATAACTCGTCTGTAATAACTCGTCTGCAATAACTCGTCTGCAATAACTCGTCTGTAATAACGCGTCTGTAATATCTCGTCTGTAATAACTCGTCTGTAATAACTCGTCTGTAATAACGCGTCTGTAATAACTCGTCTGTAATAACTCGTCTGTAATAACTCGTCTGTAATAACTCGTCTGTAATAACGCGTCTGTAATAACTCGTCTGTAATAACTCGTCTGTAATAACGCGTCTGTAATAACTCGTCTGTAATAACGCGTCTGTAATAACTCGTCTGTGATAACTCGTCTGTGATAACTCGTCTGTGATAACTCGTCTGTAATAACTCGTCTGTAATAACTCGTCTGTAATAACTCGTCTGCAATAACTCGTCTGTAATAACGCGTCTGTAATAACTCGTCTGTAATAACGCGTCTGTAATAACTCGTCTGTAATAACTCGTCTGTAATAACTCGTCTGTAATAACGCGTCTGTAATAACTCGTCTGTAATAACGCGTCTGTAATAACTCGTCTGTAATAACTCGTCTGTAATAACTCGTCTGTAATAACTCGTCTGTAATAACTCGTCTGTGATAACGCGTCTGTAATAACTCGTCTGTAATAACTCGTCTGTGATAACTCGTCTGTAATAACGCGTCTGTAATAACGCGTCTGTAATAACTCGTCTGCAATAACTCGTCTGTAATAACGCGTCTGTAATAACTCGTCTGTAATATCTCGTCTGCAATAACTCGTCTGTAATAACGCGTCTGTAATAACTCGTCTGTAATATCGCGTCTGTAATAACTCGTCTGTAATAACTCGTCTGTAATAACGCGTCTGTAATAACTCGTCTGTAATAACTCGTCTGTAATAACTCGTCTGTAATAACTCGTCTGTAATAACGCGTCTGTAATAACTCGTCTGTAATAACTCGTCTGTAATAACGCGTCTGTAATAACTCGTCTGTAATAACTCGTCTGTAATAACGCGTCTGTAATAACGCGTCTGTAATAACGCGTCTGTAATAACTCGTCTGCAATAACTCGTCTGTAATAACGCGTCTGTAATAACTCGTCTGTGATAACTCGTCTGTAATAACTCGTCTGCAATAACTCGTCTGTAATAACGCGTCTGTAATAACTCGTCTGTAATAACGCGTCTGTAATAACTCGTCTGCAATAACTCGTCTGTAATAACTCGTCTGTAATAACTCGTCTGTGATAACTCGTCTGTAATAACGCGTCTGTAATAACGCGTCTGTAATAACTCGTCTGCAATAACTCGTCTGTAATAACGCGTCTGTAATAACTCGTCTGTAATATCTCGTCTGCAATAACTCGTCTGTAATAACGCGTCTGTAATAACTCGTCTGTAATAACGCGTCTGTAATAACTCGTCTGTAATAACTCGTCTGTAATAACTCGTCTGTAATAACTCGTCTGCAATAACTCGTCTGTAATAACGCGTCTGTAATAACGCGTCTGTAATAACTCGTCTGTAATAACTCGTCTGTAATATCTCGTCCGTAATAACTCGTCTGTAATAACTCGTCTGTAATATCTCGTCTGTAATAACTCATCTTCAGTTTATGAAGCAGCACAGATGGATCCTGCATGTCACACAGTCTTGTTTGTCTGATCAACAGTTGTCAGAAAGACTGTGTGTGATTTGACCCAGTTTCTGTGATTAATCATCCTGTGTTCTCGTTATGATATTGTTAGCTCTTGTGTTGAGCAAACCTTAAGTTTGCGCTCCTTTATTGTTTGTGTTAATGTGTAGTTTTGTAGTTGTTTCCATTCCAACTTTATTTTTTCACTTGTAATTATATCATTATACATCATTTTTTTGGTGGTTTTAGAAATAAAAAGGTAATATGATAATGTGTGTGTGTGTGTGTGTGTGTGGACAGGAGTGTGGGTCTGTGTCTGTGGACAGGAGTGTGTGTGTGTGTGTGTGTCTGTGTGTGTGTGTGTGTGT